TCCACAAGTGCTTGAGAATAATCGGAAAAGACTGCTTGAAAAACGTAAGGAAGAAAAGAAGATTGGAAAGGCAGAAAGAGGTGGGAGAGACGTAGTACCCTACAACGACCCATACCCTCAAAGTCCCGCAAGTTATATTGTGAATGCAGATGGGCCGTTGACATTCCTCGTGTTGGGCTCCTGTGCAACGAAATGATGTTAAACTCCGACAGAAGGTTGAAGTTAAAATGACTGCTGGTTTCCTAGACGGAGATCACTGATTAATGGGAGAATAGATATATAGAATCGAGATGGATATACATATAGTCTCATTTTGCCTATTATTTTAGTGCTGAAGAAATTAGAAGAGTAACATGAGAAGAGTTGTCTAAATTCAGTTTACTCCTAACTTTGCAAACAATGACTTTCGTGGTGTCATCTTGGACTCCCTTTAATACATCCTTATGACAATATTTGCAGGTATATAGAGCTGGAAAACCTTGTCAGATGCAAAGAGACTGCACACCATCATGTACCTGTGTGTTATATGGGATGGATGGATGGATGCACAGTTGATTGTTGGCAAAACGTACGTGCAATTAATCTTAATGTTGATGCAAATCCCTGTACCCTGCCTTGTCTTATCATTACTTGATTCATGCTAAGTTCATTGATGCTATGAGCTTAGGAAAATGAGATGGAGTCATGTAAGTAGATGTACTTATATGAACCAGGAGTGTAAATACTTCGTTTTATTGTGTACATCAGGATAAGTGGGGTGTTTAAAGTCATCTCGACTGCGTGAATTACGAATTGACATTCGAGATACCCTGCCGACAGTGAAAGTGGTCACCTTGCGCTACATCTACGGATACAAATACCTTTGGACTGCAAGGTGAATGCAACCAGAGTAAAAGGAAGATGGGAGGCAGGACCATCGTCACCCACCATCCATTTATACGTCTACTATTATGTCATTCTTCACTTCAAGTGTAGGCCTGTCAAGGTTTATCTTTGTGCCTACCCTTAAAAAAATACGTGCTCAGCATTAAAACATAAGGGATATCTCTTTTTTAGCATAGGTCTTTTGCTTCGCAAAACTTTCTTTTGCAGCCTATTCAAGGCAGCACAACTCGAATTGATGCAAAAGAAGGTCTTTTAAATAGGATATAAATTGAATGAGTTAGTCATTTAGAAGACGGGCTTAACTTGCGAATCGGTGCAAGTACAGCTGGAGACGGTGGCGGGCAGGAATGGATGCAAGATGAATTGCTAAAAGTGCTTTCGTTTTTTACAACAAAAGCCCAGATTGATAAACCAATGTTATCTGTCTTCCAATCCTTCTACAGTTCTTAAAGCCTCTACAGACTGTGATTTCTTCGTGGGCAATCTGAGTGTAGGTAAACAAAGCACTACCACCGATCCTACATCCATCCCGTGCATATTCAAATATTCATCCATCGGCACATCCCATTTTTATTCATCCTGCATTCGTCCATCCCGTATCCATCATTCCCATTTCCATCCATTTCCTATTCCTTCTTTTCGTGTTTATTTAACCTGTAAAACCCTATCTATATATCAGTCTATCCATCCATTTATCGAGTCACTACTACTTTGATGGCATTATGCCAAACTAAGTTCTAGACCTCCTCCATAAGTCCGCATCCTTAGATATCCAAGGATTTGGGGGAGAGCAGGTTCATGGCGTTGTATATATGTTTCTACCTGGGGTTGAGCTATCTCTTGACCTCAGAAATGGCAACGCTAAATAATTGTGTAATTTATTGCATCTCCTGTACTTGCGCTTCTACGATACACGCAGACACCCCAGTTATCTCTTATTAAATCTCTCCCACATATTCAGTAGAATCGACTTCTCTCACATGCCGGATTGCAGAAAGTCAGCGCGTCACAGAAGGCAAGGGAAGAGTCAAACGATTCAAAGCTTCCATCAGAGACGTTGTCCTTTAGCTATTGCATTCGGGAAATTAGATGACATTGCCTAGAAGC